ATTGAATGAATGCCGCAGCTGAGGCCGCAGAAGAGCGAAGCAAGTGGGGCTTGGGACTCAGAGCAGGGTTTGCTGATGATTTCCTGAAAGATCGTGTTCTTGAGGGGCACATACTGGGCTTTGGATTGGGTTTCTGAGTTCTATTTTTGAGCCGGTCAAGCAAGACTCCAAGTTGGCACACGTGGTTCCGTTACAGTTTGAATGACATGTGGGTCTCGTTCTGAAGTATGCTGGGGGGAACCATGGCGGTACACTCCTTCATTCGTTGAACCCTCGGCCTGGCCAGGTTGGGAAGAAACCCAAGAGGAGGAAGGAGCGACAGCCGGTCTGGAACGCAACATGAGATAAGACTCTACTCCATACCCGGACCATCCTGGACCATCGAATGCGTGTCAACTTATGAAGGTCCCGTAGTACTTCCCGTAGTATATAGGTGGAGGATCCGGCTGCTTTGGTGGATGCAATTGAAAAGCTACAGAGTTATATGCTGTTTGGAGTTCCTATTTGCTGTCGTTTGGGGCGCATTGTTGTTTGCTTCCAACATGCGGTTTGAACTGTTGCAAAGGTTCAAGTTATACTTCACTCATCTTCACTCCAAGGGTTCAATCTGAAAGCACACAGGGCAAGAAATTATTCCAAGACAGGACAGGGCAAGAAATTCCACTGAGAGGAAGGATTCAAAAGGATGTCATTGGTTCCACTGAAGGTAAAACATTAAAACAGTTTACAAGGCGTTTGACCTTCTGCCGCAGGAGCGTCGAGATCGCCGGGGCTCCGATGGCATCTTGGACGTGCAGGGAATGGACTTGGCAGTAGGGGGGACGACGGTTCTATGACAATATATCCATCTACTCCTGGCCATAGAACCATCATAGTATCCATCATGTTCGTCATACTGCTGGCTCGGCCGATTCCGACCTGCACCCAAAACAGGCGGCCGCGAGGATGACATCTCCTCGGCGATCGACGGCTTGCTGAGCCTACCGAATGCCAACTTGCAGAAGGTGCTCACTGGGATTGGCAGTATACCTACATCGAGATGATTCTTGGAGTCAATGTGGGTCTGTATGTAAGACTCCGCACATAGTGTGTTTGGGACCCTGATGCTGCATGTTCTGTTTCTGACATGTATATAGAAGATCTATAGAACTCAGTGACCAGTTGGCCGAAAACTTCACCGGAGTAGCGGCGTTGTGACGAGCGGGGGGCCCACCTTCCTCGCCGGCCAGTCGCGCGTACCTGTCCTATCCTGTTTTGGCCAGGCGGACTTCGACAGCGGCGTGCGGCGGTATTTGGGCGCCCTGCGGGGTTGTCCGAATGGCCCGCCGGGACCTCGTGCTGAACGAGTGCGGCGTTTCCTGGGTGGTGGGTCCTGTGAGGAGACGGAGTTTTCAAGAAGTGACCGACCAAAATCTAAGGCAAAAAGTGAAGGATGCAATGGCAGGGCGCTTAAGACATAGAGTATGGCGAACTTGGCAGACACCTGAAGCAGCTTGAAACAACCCTGAAGGCTACAAGTGCTTCAAACCAAGCATATCAGAATCATTCGTCCAATTTCGTCCATATCTTTCCCAACTGTGCAGAACTTTTGGCCTGCTTCCATGCAGTAGGGTTTGTGCCATCAAGCACCGCTGCTTCAGGCCATGCTTCACACCTACACCTCCCAGAAGTCCCGCTCGGCGGTGAAGAATTGGCCGGCCTATTTGTGACTTGGTAAGAAGGCATGGCTTGTAGTTTCCTTTGGGGGGGATTACAGTGTCCCACTTACAGAGTGGGGCGGTTGACCTTGAGCCTAGTTTGTGTGCGAAGACTTCAGTGGCTACATATCAATCCTTCCGAGATCAATTGAACTTTGTTTTTGTGGCTGAATCGAGTCAGCACCCCTAACTTTGTGCCTTTTCCGATCGTGAGCGGGTGTAACTTTTTGCGGCAATGTATCACGTCCACATGTCATATCCTTCTGCCACCGAAACTCCACAATGAACACAGACCACACAGACCACAAGTACCCGAAGGGTATCCTCAGGTAGACGACCTCTTTTACCACTTTCAATGGTGTAGAGGGAGTGAATCACTGGTATTCTGTTCGCTCCCATTTTTACGCTTGAGGCTCACCTTGCTGAAGCGTTTCGAGCCTGGGGCGCTGAACGCCCGAAGGTGGGGAGTCGGATTAGATCAGAGCATCAGCAGAGAGGAGGACGGAGACACTAAGTAGATATAATTGAAGGTATATATATATATTTACTGTATATATGATTACATATATATATGTCTATATGTGTAACATTATTAATGGAACTATGGTTGGGTTGGGCTATAAGTCATACAGAACACATCAAAAGGTTGTTGTACTCATTCCCTCACCCTTGGCCATGGTCAGGTACTTCGAGGGCAAAGGCTGGAACGAAGCGCAGGGATCAAACACCGACCGCCCGGCGGTGCGACAGTGCCGGCTGTGAAAGGTTATCAGAATCATGTGAGTCCTATTGAATGCGTGTGTTACGCCCAGCTTACCAAGCTGCTGACCGGGATACCCCGACCGGAACCTTGGGCCCTTTCTTCCAGGTGGCCCTAGAAGAGAGGACGCAGAGGCAAGGACTGGGAGCGTAACCCGCGTTGGGAGTATATGCTTCTTGTTCCTAGTAGCTTATTGTTTCTAATAGCTTCTTGTTACTACTAGTAAGGCACTTGTTACTAGTAGCGATGCACTTGTTACTAGTAGCTTCTTGTTCCTAATTAGCCACCAGGTTTGAGATGGAAGCCCGGAGCCCGCTCATGCACTGTGAACATCTCTGGAAGTATGTGTGATGAAAGATGTGTGATTGGACATCGCTGTTGTACATGCTTTTTGGCCCTGTATGGAATTGTATGCTTTCCTTGAAAAGCTGCTTTGCAAGTTGGGCAGCACTGGTTTGCGTGCCATTTGGGTCGGGACACCCCGACATGGCAGGGCAAGGGTGAGCAGGATGGAGAAGAGGCCAGGCAAGATATTGCTTTGTCCCATTTCGGAGCAGGGGCGGCAGCCCCACATGTTTTCCCCACTTAGGGCATGCACTGAAAGCATGGCATCGGTTTTTTTTCGAGCCGTTCCTGAGCTAAATCAAAGATGGTGCAGTTCACCCGGCACATCAAAGCATATTATGTTGAAGCATGTTGAAGCAACCCTCTTGTGCTGAATTCTTGAAAGGAGGGCCCGCAGCCTTTGCCTGAGGAGGCAGGGTGGGTTGGTAAAAGCATATCATGCAAGATGCTCCATGTGTTTGTGATTGTTGTCAGGCCTTGGGATTCCCAGTGCGTAGGGGTGACTACGATAGGCAGCAGACTAATGATTCATGTTGAGCAGGGCTGCGTGGCATCAAAATGTGCGCTAGTGTGTATACATCAGTGAATTTGTTTTTGTTGTCGTCGTTGTGAAGCTTCATTGGCTTCCCCTTCATTATGGAGAAGAACCATGCGTTCTCGCTCTCTATCTCTCTATTTCTGTATATATACATATATTTCTTTATATTCGTTGGTAGGCCTTATTGAAGAGATAAGTGTTCCTTTTCTTGAAAGAAGGCCAAAGCTCCGGAAGCTGCAGCAGAGGCTTTGCCGGGAGAGTTGTTATTTAACATGGTGCTGAAGCTACCCGCAATGACCCACATGCCATCCAGCCATGTCAAACACAGCAGATCTTGGCAGATCGTGCGTTTGCAGGGTTCCTTTTGTCTTGAAGCTGAATGCTCATGCTTGGATCCGATATACGATATCTACAAGCATATTTATGTATCTAATAGCGATCGAGTTTTTTTGTGATTGTGCTTTGGCGCCGAGACAGGAACAGACGTGAACGTTACACCATGGAATCCTTTTGTTCCTCGGCATGTGAAACAGGAAGCGGCAGCGGTGCCTACGGCAGAGGCTTCGAGGACACATGTCATGAGTCAAGAGCACTCAATCGGAACTCTTGTACTATTGTACTTGTTCTATTCGCAGCGTGTGATGGGTCACTGGCTTCACTCGACAGACCCTGAAGCGGCAATTTACATGGCTTACGATGGCCAAGGTCAGTTTTTCCACGTTTTCCAGGTATCCCAAGTGAGATGTGACACGGCAAGATTCATGCAACACCATAATACCAAAATAACTTTGCAAGGGGGTGATGTCAGCAACTCGGAATCTCAAAACCACACGCTTTCATTGAATTGTGCCACGCACTTCGATTAAAACCCGTCCTCCCTGGCTGTGATCAGTGTGGCCATGGTTTTGGAGGGTATCAAGTATGAGCTCCGCCAAACCTTCTACGAGTTCCTGACGCTGAAAGCCGATTGGCGCCGCATCTCTCGTCGGGTTGCGCCGGTGGCGGCCTTTGTGACGCTGGGTGCAGGTGTGCTGTACGCCCGGAAGAGGCAAAACCCTCCAGATTCAGGCAGGGTTGCCGAAGCCATCCGAAGCCCAAACCATCCGTCATGCAATGACGAGAGATTATCAACATGGGAGTCTCTTGCGGGGATATCCATGATATCCATGCAAGTTTCAATGTTTGCTTTGGCTTTCCAGAGCCTTCACACCACGGCATGTTGGAGGTTCAACACCCTATAGCAGCTTTGCAGCTATAGCAAAAAAAGGGGATGAAAACTGAAAACCATGCCAGGATTTTTGGCTTCCTGCACCTTCACTTGTGGCTCTTCCTCAAGTGCACTTCTGAAGGAAGTCCGGTCACAGGCACCTGACTTCGCTGCCTTGCAACTTGGAGCTTTTAAAGTCGAGACTTGGAACTGGATCATGTCATGTCTATGACACCACCCCCCAAAAAATATAACCATGAAAACTCCATTGCTCCAACAGGCCACCACCTGCAATGGTGAAGAGAGTGCCCTGGACTTCAGACATCAAACCTGACTAGTAGGGATCCAGTCCCAGCACCAGCACCCCAGAAACCGTTGATTCCCGCTCGTTGCCACTTGGCCACAACCTTCCACCACTCAAGGCAACGCGCCGCCCGACGCTGGCGCGGGCCCATGGAGCGCGACCTGATGCGCGTGCAGCTGGGCAGAGAGTCCACCGTTGCGGTGGTGCAACGCCTGGTGGCCGAGTGGCAGGAGGCTGGGTACTTCGCGGAGCCGTTGACGGTGAAGAGACCACGAGAGGCTTTCCCTGGCATCGATCTGATCTCTCAGGTGGATGAATCCTATGGGCGAGATATTGGGAGTGAGGTGCCGCTTTGCCTGTTGGAAGATGGACATGCAGTTAGAAGTCTGAGTCCTGAGGATTGGATGGCTGCATCAGATTCCTTGGAAGTGCATGGTGCCGTTGTTTTGAGAGAGTTGATCTCCACAGAGCAGGTGATGCGCTTGCGTGAGCGCATGCACCTGCAGAGCAGCCAGCTGGATTTGGCCAAGTGCAAGGGAGGGGTGCCACCCATCCGGGAGTTTAATTCCAAGCCCTTGCAGGCTGAAGATGAGGATCTGGAGCCTCACATGTCCACCCCTGGCCGGAAGCACTTCTATCTCAGGGGCCGGATCTTTGAGCAGCAGGTGGCGGAGGCACAAGCAGGTGCTATGCCGTTGGTGTGGGAGCATTTGTTGAAGCAGGGGGCGCCTCAAGGTTTGAAGCCGTACCTGTCAGAGGTGCAACTGACGCTCGGATCAAATACCTTGCACAGCATTGAGTTTCCAATTCAACCAGCGCACGATTCCTTTGTGACCTGCCTGTTCAAGCTGGCTGGGGCCATTTGAGGCAGGTAATTATGACATCACTAGGGTTTCGTCCTCAATTTCAGAATCAGAATTATCAGAACATTTCCAGCACTTCTAGTTCATGTCAGTCATTTTATAGGCAACCTTCTTTGCATTTTTGTTGCCCTTCTGCCAAGTGAGGATGGTCTCAGATCCTTGTGCAGTGGACCAGTTCTGGCATGTCGACAACGCTGCTTCTGGTTTGACCCTGGTGGTGCCACTCACAGCTATTCCGGGGGGACATGGGTGGAACACTGCTGCTGCCAGGATCACACCATCTCTTCAGCAACCAGGGCACAGTTTCTCGAGTTTCTAGGCTGAATGAACTTGAAAGATGCTCCATTCACGTCATTGTGGTGATGCTGGTGGCGCTGCAATATCCTCTTCAAATGCTCATAACTTGTCACGTCAAACGGACCAGGTTCTTCCTGTCCAGCAAAACTCATTCCACTGTTTGAATGGCACTGGAGGCCAATATGGCATATGGATCAACGTATCAATACATTCAGATTCAGTCACTTAATATAAATATGTCATATTAACATGTCTTTATCTTCTTGTGCCATTGGCTTTCCCACCCCTTCTCCAACTGCAAATCATCGGAACCATCGGGAGCCACACCTTTTTTCGCCAATCCTTCCTAATATGCTGTGTCTCCACTTCTTGGCCTCCCCGCCTTCCCCGAGGTTCAGAACTTCTTCTCCTCCTTGCTCTCCGCCAACGGCCAGCCCTCCGTGATGCTCAACGCTGGGGACGCCTTCCTCTACGACTCCCGGCTGCTGCACCGGAGCGCAGCCAACCGGCGCTACGACCGGACCGCGGCGGTGCTGGTGTTCCGCTACGACTTCGAGCGGCCACCAGGGATGGGCTGCGTGGAAGAAGGGAAGGAGGGGAAATCCGCCGGATCGAAGTCCACAACCTGGGGCAATTAGTTGTGTCATTCCCTTCTGATAGGCCATGTTCCTTTTAGGGGACTGTGCAGTTGTAGGTTGACAACTATATATATATACTGTATATATATATATATTAGTTATAGTAGGAATATCCACCTGGTAGTGGAACATAGTGTCATTTTCCACTCGGCGCCCGATGTTTATCAAGAACCCCCTGCTAATAGGATCCAAAAGGTAGTAGGCACTCATGATGATTCAAAGTTGGTGGACCTGGAGTTTAAAAAACAACTTTTATTAAACATATTTAGTTGGGTGACCGGGTGAGAATCACACACATTCAGTTCCAGTTTACATGTTGAAAGAGTGCCACAAAGGAGTTCTCTCAACAGATTGGAGCTGATTATATTGGTGTTTGCGCTCTTGTAGCAGACAGCCCATACACACTCCCACACAATCATAGAACTTGACCCATAGCCATAGCCCTTAGCAGCCTTAGCCTTTTGCACTACGTCCCTTGACATGTTTGCTAGTCTTTCTGGATGACAATTGTCATGATGCGCCATCCCAGGTTTGATCGCTGCACAAATCTGGTCTTGGACGGGCAACCTCCTTTCAGGCCTTCATCGCTTCTATTCAAGGCTGCCACCGCCACCTTGACGCTTCGGCAGCCACGTGTCGGGGCTGAGCGGTCCAAGAGACAGATTTCAGGGCCGCGGTCCGGACTGCCGGGGAGACGATGAGAAAACAGTGCCTGTCACTCTTCCAAAAGTCTGACTCCATCCTGAATCCGATGCCGCGAGAGAAACATAGAGAAACCATGTTGTTTCCGTGTTGTTCTCCAGCGCCCTCTTCGTGACTCTCGTCGCTCCATGGTGAGGAGCCCCGCTGAGCCAGCCTCGCGACCATTGAGGCGCTTTGGGCCAACGGAAGCAAATCAGCACACATAGCTCACAAAGATTCCGAGTGAACATCCCTTCTATCGCGTTTACTTTGTGTTGTTTTGCTTGTGCAGTTTAAGGAGCTTCAGTAAAAACCTGAGTCTGCCAAGGAGCTCTTTACTAGACTGCTTGCTTGCGGAGGTAAAGTGTTTGAGTCCGGTTCAACAATGGTTCTATGAAACTCTAGCTCAAGAGCAGTCGCCTGTTTTTGGCCATGTAGGGTTGGCCATGTAGTTTTGATACACCCGAGCCAAAGGATTGTAGCACACTCATCAGTATTTGACCCTTGCCTTAAGCCACTCGTTCAAGGCATCTCAGGGTCCAAAATGCTTTCTCAAACTGTTGCACCCTTCTCCATCCCTATTGGCAGGCTGCATAAGAGGCAGTTTTATAGCAGCAGTTATACGCATATATATATATATAATACTCCAATGAAATGTCAAAGTAGATACATCACGACGCATGTTCATCCAAATGTATATTCTATAATTGCAGGTAGTTTTATGTAGGTTTAAGCAATTTAGCCTAACATTTGTTTACTTCCAAGATGAAAACCACATGTGCAAACAACCACAAAGCTGCAATGGAAGGACTGGAACGGTTTTGACCACATTGGTTGTTGTCATGGTCCATAGGTTGACTCCTCGAAAGACTGGACCCCCCTCGACTGCCACAGTCCTCTGACATGGTGTGACCGTCCCGAGGAAGCCCTTGGAGGAGCCAGTCTTCGAAAGGCCTCGATGGCCGGAAGAAGAGGAAGATTTGCCCGTTGGGGAAGCCAAAGGAACGGCCGGGTGGTTTCCGCTTCCAGCTACGGTCGGTGGTAGGCGACCCACGACCTTGGAGTACCAAAATGACACGTTTAAAGAGTCAAGGAAGGAAACAACACATTTGAACTGAACGCTTGGTATTCCACAGTTTCTTGTGTTTTTGTTTACGGTTCAATTGAGCGGATGTCATGTTTGCCGGTCCTTGGAATACTTGGTGCGGGTCATATCCGCGCAGATGTCCTGCTGTGAAGGCCATGTAGTTTCCAAGAGCACTTAATTTCGCCGGAGGCTTCATGACCTTGCAGATCGTTCCACTTATATGTGTACAGCGTATTTATAGAGTTACTTCATTCATGTTACTTCAGATTGTAACCGGTACATGTGTGTTCCCTACCACGGCTGACCGCACATGGCTGCGGCTGACCGCCTCGCCCACCAAGGCCGATGCGCTGGTCGACAGTTGACCCAAGGCGGCCAGTCTTGTCGTTGCCGTGCACCTGGCCGACATGTCGTTCACTTGTCGTTTGCTAATCGCTTGTAAGATGCTTGTAAGTGTCAGGCAGGTGGAAGCCACCAAGCAGATAGTTTTTTATAGACGTTTTTAGATAATCGATGTTGTGAATGCAATTCCTTCCCTTGCAGTTCAGGAAGGCTTTACTGTTGCTCCTGTGGCTTCACAACCCGAGTCAGTTGGTGCTTTGGCGATCCTAAGCGTTGCAGGAGTTGCGAAGCCTGCATCACTTTGGATGCATTGAATTGATTCGACGAGTTGCTCAATATGGTTCCTCGTTACTGCGTAGAAGACCTCGAGACCTTAGAAGCGTCAGCTAAAGCGCTCTAGGGCAGTAGGAATACTCTCAGACGGCTTGTGGGTGGGCGGGATGAACTGCAAGAAGGTCATCGTCAGTCAAGTGTGCCTATGTGTGCCTGTTTGCCAAATGTTCAACTGGTGGTTTTCCATTGTTAGTAGCTGGGCGACTAGTTACTGCCATTGAAGCTTGGCAACTGGAAAGAGCATCTTTCGTCAGGGGGGACACCTTTCGTCAGGCTGCCCAATGTGTCTCAGACTGACAAGCTCACACACGCTTGGATCCCGAACGCGCCCCAACGCGGTCCAAGCGAGACATGCCCGTCCAGCCGAGCTGACCACGTGTTTCACTCTGCAGCTGGGCTGCCCAGCAGCTGGGCTGGAGCAAAAAGGATCGAACGTGCGGCACACAGGGCACGTGCAGTGGTGTATCAGTGGGAAAGCCGTGGACATGGGGAATCGATGCGAGTCGCTTGTGATGCATGTAAAGTTAGTTGTTCTAAATAACTTGAAGCTTTATAAAACTAAGTTTCGATTTAAACAACCTATGACTGGGGATATGCCGACGGAAGGTGCTGTTTTAGGCGACACAAGGCTCTTATGGGACTCCTTTCTCTATGATTTGATTTGTTTGTTGCGGAAGGCGTCCGCCGAAGACTCCCACGTAGAGGACAACAGTGTGGGGCTAGAATGAGTTGCTGTCGAATGGCTTTTGCATTGTTTCTCCGCCATTGCTGGAGCACGCAGGCAAAAGATCCAGGTTATGATCAACATCAAGGACTGGTTTCTCCAAAGCACTTCTGGCGTTTTTTTCTGGAACAACTGCACCGACTGTGTCAGTTGTTTTTCCCGATGATGCTTTTTGGCTATCGCCAAGCACAACGGAAAGAACGGCTCCTTTCGTCGCAGATATGGTCATATTATATTCCTTGACTACTGATTTTACTTGGTGTTTGTGCTTTTGGTGTTGGCCATGCCATACCCACGAACTCAACTAACTTACGTATAGCATAGCATCCCACATGGGCAAGACCGGCTGCACTTGTCATGCAATATGACGGGCATGATGAGTGGCGTCTTTCTGCGAGGAGGATAATCGCCTTTTGCGGGCCGAGTTGAAAAAGGTCAGCCGTCATCGCGGCAATCGAAGTGAGCGCGAGAATCGAAGTCATCGCCGTCATGGCGGTCCGAAGTGATGTAAATCAATCGCGCGGTCCAAGCACTTTCCTGGAGGTGTCATTCAGGAGATCCGTTCGGCCTAGGAGTCTCGTACCAAATCGCTCAACGAATGATATGTGTCTTGTTTTTCCCGAAAGCATTGCGAAGGGTTCTTCCGGAAAAGCCCTTGAACACTCACACTTCGACACTTCACTTACACACTGACACTTCCACCACACTTGCACTACAACATGAACGCTATACGTACCCCAGTGTAAGTGGAAGAGCGAAAGCATCCAAGTGCAAAGTATGCAAGTGTCAAAGTATGCAAGTGTAAGTATATGCAAGTGATGGGTATGCAAGCATGCAATGAGTATGCAAGCATGCAATGAGCATGCAAGCATGCAATGAGTAGGCAAGTGTGAGTATGGAAAAGTATGGAAAGCATGCAATGAGTAGGCAAGTGTGAGTATGGAAAAGTATGGAAAAACTACCACGGGAGATGTCCTAATGAAAAAACATTTCCCCACTTATAAATTCTCTCTTAAAGGCGGAGGGTGGGACGAACAGCATCAACCGAAAATGCAAACCTTTGCGGAGATCGTGCGTGTCGAGTGCGCGAAATGCAGGCGAGAG